ATATCCTTGAAATTTTAACGCATATTAGAAATTATAACTTGTACGCAAATTAACATTGTAAATATGCATTTAAATTGAACTGGTATAATTTTTGCAATATTATAATAACTACCAAATGTAAACTTGCTGCAAAATTGGAAATATAACTTGTAGGTAAGGTTACATCGCAAAGATGCCTTAAAGTTGTGTTGATATTATTTTGCAATGTTATAATTTAATATTGAATGTAAACTTGCTGCAATATAGCAGAAATAATATATTGGAAAATCGAACGCTTTGCCGCCATTAATAACGATCGGAACGACATCGGGGATACGAACTAAACCGAAAGCAAATCGACGCCATCAAGTCGCTGTTTGTCGTTTAAGTTGAGTGCTGTGTCTGCTTGTTGAATGTTGTGTCTGTGATAAAGCGAATCTCGGCTAAATTGTTGGTGTTTGTGTTGGGATTATGTATTGGATCGGTTCAGGTAGTGCTTTGCTTTTTGGCTATTTTTATTATTCAGTTTTTATTTTAGAACCTGTGGAATGAAATAAATATACAGCGATTACAATGGATGAGGATTCAAATAAGGTGAGTAAGGTTTGCATAGTCAATAAATACTTTTTACAAAAATACTGCGGAATGGGGCCCCTTTTTTTGTAAACCGTAACCTCTTTTTTTCATACCTACAAATCCCGTATTATTATTATATTACTTATTATGATTTTACGATAATATTTTAGTTAGGATCAAAAATATCGTAAACCGTTTGGTAGGTAATGTCCAGAAAGAAAGTGGCTACGACGGGGAATAATTATTATAATAAAAATACAGAACTACTCCCTGATTTCGTTTTTGTTCCAGGTGACAATATAAGTAGCCTCTGTGGTAGCAGCCAGTACCTATTTCGTCCTGTGTGTCAACCTATCTAAAATTTCGCTTTTTTTTTCTGTTTAGAATTTTTATTTATTTTGCTTTGAGATATTACTTTTTACGTTTTGTTTTTCACCTAAGTATATTTTTTTATTGTGAGTATTATATACATAATATACCTACCAACCTTTTTATTTTGTTTTCCAAAAACTTGTACTTTTATTCATAATAAAATATCTACCTAATATATGATTATGGGTTCCAGGCACAAATTTTAACAGCTTGTTTTTAGAACAAGCTGTTAGAGTTTATGCAGTAGCAACATTACTTTTTTATTGCAGTAAAGTGGCGAACCCAATATATTCGTAATAAAAATGCAATATTGCAGTAAACTTACTAATAAATTGCAAGTAACCCTAAGGTATATTTGAATTTGTAACCTTACACTCGTAAGTTTGCTGAAGTTTTGATCTAATATTCCAGTAATATTGCTGAAAGGTTATCATTCATAAACCTTGCATTTGTAATATTACCCTAAGGTTGTTTCAGTACTTGCCGCAATACTGCGTCAACATTACAGTAAACTTCAATATAACCTTACAAGTTTGCAGTGTAATGTTACCTCATTATTACTGTAATCTTATTTTGTTCAGTGGGTTTCCACTGGAAAAATTTGAAATTTTGAGAAAATGAGCTTCTCACCTTCCTCTTTACATGCAAAAAGTTTCAAAATTTTCCCTTCACTAGTTTTCCAGGAAAACTTTGAAATGTGTGAGACTGTATTTTCAATTAATTCAGTTACCGTAGGTTGATTTTCAAGATTCCTCATGTTGTAATTTTCCACTGGAAAAATTTCAAATTTTGGGAAAATGAGCTTCTCACCTTCCTCTTTACATGCAAAAAGTTTCAAAATTATCCCTTCACTAGTTTTCCAGGAAATCTTTGAAATGTGTGAGACTGTATTTTCAATTAATTCAGTTATTGTAGGTTGATTTCCAAGATTTTTCATGTTGCTGTTTTCCACTGGAAAAATTTGAAATTTTGAGAAAATGAGCTTCTCACCTTCCTTTTCACATGCAAAAAGTTTCAAAATTTTCCCTTCACTAGTTTTCCAAGAAAACTTTGAAAGGTGTGAGACTGTATTTTCAATTAATTCAGTTATTGTAGGTTGATTTTCAAGATTCATCGTGTTGTAATTTTGCACTGGAAAAATTTCAAATTTTGGGAAAATGAGCTTCTCACCTTCCTCTTTACATGCAAAAAGTTTCAAAATTATCCCTTCACTAGTTTTCCAGGAAATCTTTGAAATGTGTGACACTGTATTTTCAATTAATTCAGTTATTGTAGGTTGATTTCCAAGATTTTTCATGTTGCTGTTTTCCACTGGAAAAATTTGAAATTTTGAGAAAATGAGCTTCTCACCTTCCTTTTCACATGCAAAAAGTTTCAAAATTTACCCTTCACTAGTTTTCCAGGAAAACTTTGAAATGTGTGAGACTGTATTTTCAATTAATTCAGTTATTGTAGGTTGATTTTCAAGATTCCTCATGTTGTAATTTTCCACTGGAAAAATTTCAAATTTTGGGAAAATGAGCTTCTCACCTTCCTCTTTACATGCAAAAAGTTTCAAAATTATCCCTTCACTAGTTTTCCAGGAAAACTTTGAAATGTGTGAGACTGTATTTTCAATTAATTCAGTTATTGTAGGTTGATTTTCAAGATTCCTCATGTTGTAATTTTCCACTGGAAAAATTTCAAATTTTGGGAAAATGAGCTTCTCACCTTCCTCTTTACATGCAAAAAGTTTCAAAATTATCCCTTCACTAGTTTTCCAGGAAAACTTTGAAATGTGTGAGACTGTATTTTCAATTAATTCAGTTATTGTAGGTTGATTTTCAAGATTCCTCATGTTGTAATTTTCCACTGGAAAAATTTCAAATTTTGGGAAAATGAGCTTCTCACCTTCCTCTTTACATGCAAAAAGTTTCAAAATTATCCCTTCACTAGTTTTCCAGGAAAACTTTGAAATGTGTGAGACTGTATTTTCAATTAATTCAGTTATTGTAGGTTGATTTTCAAGATTCCTCATGTTGTAATTTTCCACTGGAAAAATTTCAAATTTTGGGAAAATGAGCTTCTCACCTTCCTCTTTACATGCAAAAAGTTTCAAAATTATCCCTTCACTAGTTTTCCAGGAAAACTTTGAAATGTGTGAGACTGTATTTTCAATTAATTCAGTTATTGTAGGTTGATTTTCAAGATTCCTCATGTTGTAATTTTCCACTGGAAAAATTTCAAATTTTGGGAAAATGAGCTTCTCACCTTCCTCTTTACATGCAAAAAGTTTCAAAATTATCCCTTCACTAGTTTTCCAGGAAAACTTTGAAATGTGTGAGACTGTATTTTCAATTAATTCAGTTATTGTAGGTTGATTTTCAAGATTCCTCATGTTGTAATTTTCCACTGGAAAAATTTCAAATTTTGGGAAAATGAGCTTCTCACCTTCCTCTTTACATGCAAAAAGTTTCAAAATTATCCCTTCACTAGTTTTCCAGGAAAACTTTGAAATGTGTGAGACTGTATTTTCAATTAATTCAGTTATTGTAGGTTGATTTTCAAGATTCCTCATGTTGTAATTTTCCACTGGAAAAATTTCAAATTTTGGGAAAATGAGCTTCTCACCTTCCTCTTTACATGCAAAAAGTTTCAAAATTATCCCTTCACTAGTTTTCCAGGAAAACTTTGAAATGTGTGAGACTGTATTTTCAATTAATTCAGTTATTGTAGGTTGATTTCCAAGATTTTTCATGTTACTGTTCTCTACTGGAAAAATTTGGAATTTTGAGAAAATGAGCTTCTCACCTTCCTTTGTACATGCAAAAAGAGACTCTACAAGCCTAATAAATTCTCTATTAAATCCCCTCTAATTTCAACTTTATACAGGATGTATAAAAAAAATTGTAAAGTCTTGATACATCAAAGTTCAGAGGCCTCTAACTTCTTATAGACACCCTGTATGAAGACAAAATTTTGGGATTTTATAGAGCAATTCATTAGCTTTCAAAAGCCCTATTTGGAATTTCCCAGAAAAAAAATCCACAGCCCAATCTACAGGGTGTTTTATAGAGTAACACACAAATGGCTTTATTTCCAAATAAACACACCCTGTATCTGGAATATTCAGTTTCTTAGGGAAAAAAAAATCAAATAGAGCCCCTACAAGCCTAATAAATTCTCTATGAAATCCCCCTAATTCCAACTTTATACAGGGTTTATTAAAAAAATTTGTATGTATCAAAATTCAGAGGCCTCTAGTTTCTTATGGACACCCTGTACAAAGACAAAATTTTGGGATTTTATTCATTAGCTTCCAGAAGCCCTATTTTGAGTTTCTTGAAAAAATCTTGAACTCAATCTACAGGGTGTTTTATACAGGGTAGTCGCCTCAGTCAATAGTAGCCAAACCGTTGAGCTTATGGAAATATGTTCTGTATAAAAGTTTTAGCATTTCATCTCTGCTATAGCTCAAAATTATTTTCAAGTATACAGGGTGTCTCAAAAAAGAGTAATTACAAATTTTAAGGAATACCGTATGTTTTTATGTGGCAAATGATGCTCTGTATTCAACTTTAAAATCGTATTTGGGTTGAATGCAGCGTTGCCAAGATATGATTTTTTGAAGAAAAAAATAGTTTTTTAAAATTGTCACATCTCCGCCACTGTACATTAATTTCCCTTAAAAATCTACAAGTAATCTAATGTTAGCCTAGTTGCTCCTACACTATCTCCATTTTTCAATTTAAGTATACAGGGTGTCCAGAATATTTGTCTAAACACTAATTCCATTTTAATTGAGTTTTTCATATTTACATACCCTGTATATAAAAATATTGATAAATCTTGAATTATGTATTAAAAATAATCAAAAATTTCACAGGCTTTTGAGGACAAACACCCTGTATAGAGACAAAATTTTGAGATTATTATCAAATTCGCTACAACTTTCATCTTTATACAGGGTGCTTGAGAAAAGTTCCAAAATTCCAAGACACATAATACATGAGTTCACTGGTACCTACAAACAAGCAAAATGACAAGAATAACAATGTTTTTCCTGCTGTGAGCAAAAAGGAAATAAAACTTCATTAAAGTACAATGTTTTGTTTTATTATAGAGCGCACAACAAGCATAATTATTCAACAAAACGGTCCACCCTTATTACAAAACGAAAAAACTATATACAAGGCAAGAAGAATTTTACAAAAATACATTATCTATTCACAATCCTTAATCCAAAGGTAAAGGTAAAATGTATCACCTCTCAGTGCTATTTGATAGGGATAGGTGATAAATTTACCTTTACCTTTGTATTGTGAATAGTCAAATTAACGATTCCCTGAGAAATTAAACACGAGTTTTTTGGTTTTAATTAAAAGTGGACACAAACTATTTATGCACAAGTACAAATGTAGAAAATAGAATCTAAAAGCCCTTAAAAGTTATGAAAAAATAAGTGCCCCATTAATAGGTTTGTTCCAAAACAGCAGGAAACTGGAACAGTTTTTGACCGTGTTGGAACAAGCCTTATAATATATCCCTTACAAGTAGAAAACTTGTATTTAATTATAAAATACATATAAACCAACAATATAATAATTAAAATTTTCCTCTTATTATACACAATAATAATTATGGTAAATCTGCTTGTTTTTGTTACCGCACGAAATCAGCCTTTGAAATTTTTTGGATTTTTGAAACTTAATTACTTTAGTCGTCTTTGGATTTCTCAGCATTGGACTCGTCTTCCTCATCGGAATAGTTATTAGGTTCCTCGCCTGGTTTCAGCAATCGCCCTACGTAATCGTACTTTTCTGGGATGGAATAATTACTTAATTACTATATACTTAAATAATTGACATAGGTAAAACCTCGCCGTATTCTAATCAAGGGTCAAAGGTGTGTATAAAATTTGGAATTTGACTTTGAAAATTTTGTTTCAATATTTCGCCTGGCAAATACTTAAATTATTATTGCTTACCGTTAAATTGTGACTCCCATTCTTTGACTGAGTCCATTTCCATGGTGCTGAGGTCACTTAGATCATCGTATTCGTCACCTCCTGGGGTTACGTTAAAGGTTGCAAGGCCCCTAGAGGCGTCTCGACCGGCGAAAGCAGCATAAGGACCTCCTGGAAAAAAATTAAAGAGTTTAAAGGAAATTGAAGGAATTAGTAGCAATTTGTTTTGGAGCTTCAAATTAACTTTTCTACAAAGAGGAAACTTCAATTCCTAATTCTTGAAAGTTTCAAGTCACTGTGATCATTAGAAGTATTTTGCACAAGTGATTTTTCAAGGGACAAACCACCTAGAAATTCTTTGCCAAAAATGTGGGGAATTTAGAGGAATTTGTGGGAAATTTAAAGGAATTTATGGGGAATTTGAAGGAGCTCATCGGAATTTATGAGAATTTGGTGAATTTGAAGGAATTTATGGAGAATTTGTGAGGAATTTAAAGAAAATTGTAGGGTCATGACATCACTGAAGTTCACATTCTTATTATAAGAAATAGTGATAAATGGAAATTTAAAAAAAAAAACTAGTTTTGTATTGGACGTTGGATATTCATTTTTGTTAAACAAATCCTCTTAAAATTAGGTACAATACATGATTTACAGGTCCAAATTTAAAAAATTCAAAAGAATAAGGAATACAGTTTTTGTAGGCTGATTTTCAAAATTTTTCATGTTGTTATTTTCCACTGAAAAAAAATTGAAACTTTGGGAAAATGAGCTTCTCACCTTCCTCTTTGGATGCAAAAAGTTTCAAATTTGTCCCTTCACTAGTTTTCCAGGAAAACTTTCAAATGTGTGAGACTGTATTTTCAACTAATTCAATTTTTGTAGGTAAATTTCCAATATTCCTCATGTTGTTATTTTCCACTGGAAAAATTTGACATTTTGGAAAAATGAGTTTCTCACCTTCCTGTTTACATGCAAAAAGTTTCAAAATTTTCTCTTCTCTAGTTTTCCAGGAAAACTTTGAAATATGTGATACTATATTTTCAACTAATTCAGTTTTTGTAGATTGATTTCCAAGGTTTTTCATGTTGCTATTTTCTAATGGAAACATTTGAAATTTCGGGAAAATGATCTTCGTACTTTCGTCTTTAAATGAAAAAAGTTTCAAAATTCTCCCTTCACTAGTTTTCTAGGAAAATTTTGAAATGTGTGAAACTATATTTTCAATTCATTCACTTATTGTAGGTTGATTTTCAATATTCTTTCTGTTGTTATTTTCCATTGGAAAAATTTGAAATTCTGGGAAAATGAGCTTCCAACCTTCCTTTTTACATGCAAAAAGTTTCAAATTTGTCCCTTCACTAGTTTTCCAGGAAACCTTTGAAATGTGTGAGACTGTATTTTCAAGTAATTCAATTTTTGTAGGTTAATTTCCAATATTCCTCATGTTGTTATTTTCCACTTGAAAAATTTGAAATTTTGGGAAAATGAGCTTCTCACCTTTATCTTTACATGATAAAAGTTTTAAACTTTTCTCTTCTCTAGTTTTCCAGGAAGACTTTGAAATATGTGATACCTACTGTATTTTCAACTAATTCAGTTTTTGTAGGTTGATTTTCAAGGTTTTTCATGTTGCTGTTTTCTACTGGAAAAATTTGAAATTTTGGGAAAATGATCTTCGCACCTTCCTCTTCACATGAAAATTATCAAAATTCTTCCTTCACTAGTTTTCTAGGAAAACTTTGAAATATGTGAGACTATATTTTCAATGAATTCAGTTATTGTAGGTTGATTTCCAAGATTTCTCATGTTGTAATTTTTTACTGGAGAAATTTGAAGTTCTGGAAAAAAGAGCTTCTAACTTTTCTTTTTACATGCAAAAAGTTTCAAATTTCTATCTTCACTAGTTTTCCAGGAAAACTTTGAAATGTGTGAGACTGTATTTTCAACTAATTCAGTTTTTGTAGGTTGATTTCCAAGATTTTTCATTGTGCTGTTTTCTACTGGAAAAACTTGAAATTTTTGTGGGAAATTTGAGAGGAGTTTCTAGGAATTTGCAAGAATTTAGAGGAATTTGTGGGATATTTGGAGAAATTCCTGGTGGGGTATTTGGAGAAATTTGTGATGGGGTATCTGGAGGAATTTGTAGGAATTTTGAGGAATTATCCTTAAAAAAAATCCCCTTTGAGGAATTGTTTGCATCAATTCTGGGATGGTGGTTTACCCTTTGTTCCTAATACTCTGGGAGAAAATTTAAAAAAAAAAGGAATAATCGCATTTGTAGTGGAAAAGGTGAAGTATAGGGACCACCAGCAAAATATAATCATTCAAGTACAAAATTCACATTATCTCTTCAAAATTGGAATCCAGAAGCTGCACTATGAGGGATAAACTAAAACCTAAAAAACCTAGTATATTTGAAATCAGGCTTGGAAGGCTAATCCAATAAGTCAATAGCAAAAGAGCAAAAAGATTGCTACAACTAAGCAGGAATCAACTCAGAGAAGCAACTGGCTTTCTTACTGGGCATACTTCAGTAAAGAAGCACCTACAAACAATGGAATTGTACAGCTGAAACACAAACTACAGACTATGCGGAATAGAAACCAAAACAGCACAACTGCAGGGAACCAGTGTTTTGGCATGGGTGCAGTAAACAGGAAGATTCAGCACAATAAGCCTCCAGCTGCAGCACTATTCGAAGTTCAATCAGACAACTTCAAAGTCAACTTTAAATTAACTTTTCCATAAAGAGAAAAATTCAATTCATAAATCCTGGAAGTTTCAAGTCACTGTGATCATTAGAAGTATTTTGCACAAGTGATTTTTGCAAATTTTAAATCATTTTTGCATGCATTACCATAAGAAAAACCTTTAAAATTTAGTTTGAATCTTCAATTCATAAATCCTGAAAGTTTCAAGTCACTGTAATCCTCCTAAAACTGAGGTTGTTGACTATTTTTTAGGAAGGAAACTAGAGTCAATACTATGCAATACCTACTTGTTAATTATGTAGGTAAAATGTGTCAATACTTGTAAATATCTAGGCAATATATGTTTATACCTGTTAAAAACATGTAAATATTTGTGGATAGGATGTCAATACCTAGAATTCTGGCAAAACAAATATTTGATTTTAGTCTGTCAATAGCATGGTAATACCTGGTAATATGTGATAATACTAGGGAAATACCTTGCAATATGTGGAAATACTTTGTTAATACATAGAATAACTTGTTATTAGGTACCTACATAGAAATATCTGTTAATATACATGGAAATATCTCAGTTAGTACTGTTACAAATTTTGTCAAGTGAAAAACCCCTTGGGATAATTTTATTATTATTTTGTTCATGTAGACAAATAAATTACTTACCCAATATAGATGATTACCTAGTTGTTTAAAATAAGATTCTTACCTTTTTTTATTTTAGTGTGCAACTCGGTGTGCAACATAGTCATGCAGATTTTACCCCTCATTTTGAGGTCAAAAAATTGTTTACATTTTATCCCTACATCTATTTAAATTTACCCACAAGTAAATACATATGGGGTAAATATTATCAAGCAGGAGCATGTACTTCTGCAAAAACATAAGTTCTAGAACCTTTCCATATGTTAAAATATACCTTTTTAATTAGGGCCACTAGTAAACAAATCAGTTAAATGAGATGCTTTATCTTTGCCAATCAGTTCAAGTGAGATAATCAGAGAAAATTCTAAAAGTGTTCACATTTCCCCTACTTGACCCTATAGCCAAACTCAGCTGGCAACAGCTGGGAAAACCCTAGAAAAAGTAGGTTCAAAGAATCGCGTGTCTCTGTATAACAGGAGTAATGAGATCATGGTGCCCTTATACAGTTGGAAGACATTCCAGCCCTGGAACCGCTAGATATCCTAAAACTCTTAGAGGACCTAGGACTGGAGGGGCTGCTTCAAGGGGCAAACCACCTAGGAATTCTTTGCCAAAAATGTGGGGAATTTAGAGGACTTTGTGGGAAATTTAGAGGAATTTGTGAGGAATTTGGAGGAACTCATCCGAATTTATGAGAATTTGGGGAATTTATAGGGAATTTGGAAGAATTTATGGGGAATTTGGAGAATTTGTGAGGAATTTATGAGGAATTTAAAGGAAATTGTCAAATTTAAAAAAATTCAAAAGAATAATGAATACCTACAGTTTTTGTAGGCTGATTTACAAGATTTTTTTATGTTGTTATTCTCCACTGAAAAAATTTGAAATTTTGGGGAAAATGAGTTTCTCACCTTCCTCTCTCCATGCAAAGTTTCAAAATTTTCCATTTACTAGTTTTCCAGGAGAATTTTGAAATGTGAAAGACTGTATTTTCAACTTATTCAGTTTTTTAGGTTGATTTCCAAGATTTTTCATAGTGCTGTTTGCTACTGGAAAAATTTGAAATTTTGAGAAAATGAGCTTCCTACCTTCCTCTTTACATGCAAAAAGTTTCAAAATTTTCCCTTGACTAGTTTTCCAGGAAATCTTTGAAATGTGTGAGACTGTATTTTCAATTAATTCAGTTATTGTAGGTAGATTTCCAAGATTTTTCATGTTGCTGTTTTCCACTGGAAAAATTTTGAAATTTTGGGAAAATGAGCTTCTCACCTTCCTCTTTACATGCAAAAAATTTCAAATTTCTCCCTTCACTAGTTTTCCAGGAAAACTTTGAAATATGTGAGACTGTATTTTCAATTAATTCAGTTATTGTAGGTTGATTTTAAAGATTCCTCATGTAATTTTCTACTGAAAAAATTTGAAATTCTGGGAAAATGAGCTTCTCACCTTCCTCTTTACATGCAAAAAGTTCCAAAATTTTCCCTTCGCTAGTTTTCCAGGAAATCTTTGAAATGTGTGAGTCTGTATTTTCAATTAATTCAGTTATTGTTCGTTGATTTCCAAGATTTTTTATGTTGCTGTTTTCCACTGGAAAAATTTGAAATTTTGGGAAAATGAGTTTCTTACCTTCTTCTTTACATGCAAAAAGTTTCAAAATTTTCCTTTTACTAAGTTTCCAGGAAAACTAAGAAATGTGTGAGACTGTATTTTAAACTAATTCACTTTTTGTAGGTTGATTTCCAAGATTTTTCATGTTGCTGTTTTCTACTGGAAAAATTTGAAATTTTGGGAAAATGAGCTTCTCACTCAATGACCTTCCTCTTTACATGCAAAAAGTTTCAAAATTTTCCCTTCACTAGTTTTCCAGGAAATCTTTGAAATATGTGAGACTGTATTTTCAATAAATTCAGTTATTAGGTTGATTTCCAAGAGTTTTCATGTTGCTGTTTTTCACTGGAAAAATTTGAAATTTTGGGAAAATAAGCTACTTACCTTCTTCTTTACATGTAAAAAGTATCAAAATTTTCCCTTTACTAGTTTTCCAGGCAAACTTTGAAATATGTGAGACTGTATTTTCAACTAATTCAGTTTTTGTAGGTTGATTTCCAAGATTTTTCATGTTGTTATTTTTCACTAGAAAAATTTTAAACTTTGGGAAAATGATCTTCACACCTTTCTCTTCACATGCAAAAAGTTTCAAAATTTTCCCTTTACTAATTTTCCAGGAAAACTTTGAAATATGTGAGACTGTACTTTCAATTAATTCAGTTATTATAAGTTGAATTTCAAGATTCCTCATGTTGTAATTTTCTACTGGAAAAATTTGAAATTCTGGGAAAATGAGCTTTTCACCTTCCTCTTTACATGCAAAAAGTTTCAAAATTTTCCCTTCACTAGTTTTCCAGGAAAACTTTGAAATGTGTGCGACTGTATTTTCAATTAATTCAGTTCTTGTAGGTTGATTTCCAATATTTCTCATGTTATTTTCCAATGGAAAAATTTGAAATTTTGGGAAAATGAGCTTCTCACCTTCCACTTTACATGCAAAAAGTTTCAAAATTTTCCCTTTACTAGTTTTCCAGGAAAACTTTGAAATGTGTGAGACTGTATTTTCAACTAATTCAGTTTTTGTAGGTTGATATCCAAGATTTTTCATGTTGTTATTTTTCACTAGAAAAATTTGAAACTATGGGAAAATGAGCTTCTCACCTTTCTCTTCACATGCAAAAAGTTTCAAAATTTTCCCTTTACTAGTTTTCCAGGAAAACTTTGAAATATGTGAGACTGTACTTTCAATTAATTCAGTTATTATAGGTTGATTTTCAAGATTCCTCATGTTGTAATTTTCTACTGGAAAAATTTGAAATTCCGGGAAAATGAGCTTTTCACCTTCCTCTTTACATGCAAAAAGTTTCAAAATTTTCCCTTCACTAGTTTTCCAGGAAATCTTTGAAATGTGTGCGACTGTATTTTCAATTAATTCAGTTATTGTAGGTTGATTTCCAATATTCCTCATGTTATTTTCCAATGGAAAAATTTGAAATTTTGGGAAAATGAGCTTCTCACCTTTCTCTTCACATGCAAAAAGTTTCAAAATTTTCCCTTTACTAGTTTTCCAGGAAACCTTTGAAATATGTGAGACTGTACTTTCAATTAATTCAGTTATTATAGGTTGATTTTCAAGATTCCTCATGTTGTAATTTTCTACTGGAAAAATTTGAAATTCCGGGAAAATGAGCTTTTCACCTTCCTCTTTACATGCAAAAAGTTTCAAAATTTTCCCTTCACTAGTTTTCCAGGAAATCTTTGAAATGTGTGCGACTGTATTTTCAATTAATTCAGTTATTGTAGGTTGATTTCCAATATTCCTCATGTTATTTTCCAATGGAAAAATTTGAAATTTTGGGAAAATGAGCTTCTCACCTTTCTCTTCACATGCAAAAAGTTTCAAAATTTTCCCTTTACTAGTTTTCCAGGAAAACTTTGAAATGTGTGAGATTGTATTTTCAATTAATTCAGTTATTCTAGGTTGATTTTCAAGATTCCGCAGGTTGAAATTTTCTACTGGAAAAATTTGAAATTTTGGGAAACTGATCTTCTCACCTTCCTCTTTACATGCAAAAAGTTTCAAAATTATCCCTTTTTTTAGAGGAACTTGTGGGGTATCTACTCGGGTATCAAGAGAAGTTCGTGGTAGGCTATTTGGAGGAACTTGTGATGGGGTATCTGAAGGAATTTGGAGGAATTTGCAGTACTTCTGAGGAATTATGAATAAAAAATTCCTCTTTGAGGAATTGTTTGCACCAATCCTGGGATGGTGGTTTACCCCTTGTGATTTTTGCAAATTTTAATCATTTTCAAATGCATAAACATAAGAAAAAGCCTCCAAATTATATTTGAAGCTTCAAAACAACTTCAAATTAACTTTTCCACAGAGAAGAAACTTCAATTTATAAATCCTGAAAGTTTCAAGTCACTGTAATTCTCCTAAAACTGAAGTTTTTGACTACAGTTCAACTAGAAAAGGTTTCAAAAATCTGAAATTTGGCCTCCAAGAGCCTGGAATAAATAAAAAATTATACAAAAATAAATACCTAGAGAAGGTGGATAAAATGTTTAAGACTCATTTACCAAACCCCATCCTGTATATCCGATTTTATCATACATCTTTATTTAAGCTCAAGCAAGCCATAATTAAATTAATCAAATTAAAATGCGTCCCAATGACATCATGAATGTATTTACGTATATGAATCGCGAGTAGCTTGGTGAATTATTTATCTTTTCAAGTATTGTATGCATTGTCCTTCAAATAAAAAAAAAAGGTTATACTAACTTTGTTGGAAAACAAGCCCCAAAATTAATAAAAATACACTTTGAAAATATTGAAAATTTTAAGGGGAGAAATAACCCCTAAACTAACCCGAAATTGGTTTTGTTTGTATAGAATTTAAGCAGCTTATGGAGGCAAAATATCAAAAATACACTAGAAATTGGCACCTTTATAAGGGTCAAATATTCAATCATTCATTTATCTAGTAGTGTGTTTACTGGAGGGAGGAGGTTTATAATTACCCAAATAAACTGCAAAATTAATGAAAAAATACTGTTTGTAGAATTTCAATACCTAGTTTATGGAAGCAAAATATCAAAAATACACTAGGAATTGGCCCTTTTAAGGGCCAAATATTCAATAATAATTCATCTATCTACTGTATCCTGTAGGTCATGGTTAGTTAACCAAATCCTCCTGTTAAACACAAATCAAATTACCTGGCCCATAGAACCTTTTCCCTTTAGTAACATCATACACCTTCCCATTGACAGCAATCAGTACTCGTCCATCCTCCTGGGTACCATCAAACTTCTTCAAATCACCCACAGTGAAATCTTGCTTTTTCAATTTAGGCAGCGGCTTTTCTTCAGGTTCCCCACCGAGCTGGTTCTCGTCCTGGCGGCTCTTCAATATCCGATAAATCAGAACCCCAATCAGCCCTAGAAGGGCCAAGTTTATGGGACTTTGGAAAATTTCCAAGAGAATTGATGTCAGGAAATTGCCGGAGGCGGGTTCCTCGAAGGACACTTTTTCTTCGGTTTCGGACATTGTTGTTGCACTTTGGGTTTTCAATTTGTAATAAACAATTTATAAATAAATTAAAATTATTGAAAAGTCATGACAGCATAGGAGGTGACAGCGTGGTTTGTTGACAATGATCAGTGCAAATGAAAATCGGTAGATGGCGCTACAAAAAAAAAAGAAGATTTCTGTAATTTTGGCAAACAAGGTTCTGTGTTTATTTATTAATAATAATTATTTTAATTATAAACAACAAACATTATTTAATTGATTTTGTTAAGAAAAAATCGAAATTAACACGTAAACATTATGGAAATCGTCAAACAAACAAATAGGATTTTTGGAATTTAAGATTTGCATTTATACAATCTGGCAACGTTGCAACATGATTTATTTAATAAATTAGCAATTTTTAAGCTTTAATTACAATAAAATGGCCATAATTAAGTAAAAATAGGATAAAACTGATAAGCCCCTTATGCTAGTTCTTCCTTTAACCCTAACTAGTACAATGATACACTAAAATTCACTTACCTTGAAAACATAAACTGTAAATGAATTCCTCGTATTATAAATGATGGAAAAACACTTAAAGATACACTAAAGGTCCTTTTGGAACACTTTTCAATATTAAAAAACACTAATTATGGGTATAATTTAACACGAGGACTTTATGGAAATCATCCAAAAGTACCAGGGATTTTTAGAATTTACGATTTGACAAGGCATGGCCTCCTGGGATTCACAGACAAAATTTGAGGATTATTCCAATTATTTCAATTAAAATAACTTGTATGCAAACTTGAGTGCGTTTTGGACTCAAATTTACTTGATTCCAGGTTCAATTAAAACAATCTGACAACTTTGTAATAGAATAAATTGGAAAACACTTACCTACCACATATAAACATACTTTAGACGACTTCCTCGCACTGCAAATAATGAAAAAAACACTAAAAATCCTCCTTTTAATAATGAAAACACCAAAATAAGTGTTGAAAACTGTAATTTAACAGGAGGAGAACTTTATGGGAATCACAGGCAAAAGCAAGGATTTTTGAAGTTTACGATTTGACAAGGCAAACCGGTGAAACACCGGAAGGCGGGAATTTTGAAATTTTTGAATTCAATTTCAATTAAATACAAGAAAGTGAGTGAAAAGTTGAAATTTTGGGGACTTTTTCCTAATAATTCAATGTAAAAAATACCAAAAACTCAAAGCGATTGAGTTATTATTAATGGAGTTACGATTTTTTGAAAATAATGATGTTTTGTAAAGTAATACTCTACAAACAATTTTTTCACTCAAAAACTAGAGTGAGTGGAAAGTAGAAATTTTGGGGACTTTTTCTTAATGATTCAATGTAAAAAATACCAAAAACTCAAAGCGATTGAGTTATTATTAATGGAGTTACGATTTTTTGAAAATAATGATGTTTTGTAAAGTAATACTCTACAAACAATTTTTTCACTCAAAAACTAAAGTGAGTGGAAAGTTGAAATTTTGGGGACTTTTTCTTAATGATTCAATGTGAAAAATACCAAAAACTCGAAGCGATTGAGTTATTATTAATGGAGTTACGATTTTTTGAAAATAATGATGTTTTGTGAAGTAATACTCTACAAACAATTTTTTCACTCAAAAACCAAACTGAGTGGAAAGTTGAAATTTTGGGGACTTTTTCCTAATGATTCAATGTAAAAAATACCAAAAACTCAAAGCGATTGAGTTATTATTAATGGAGTTACGATTTTTTGAAAATAATGATGTTTTGTAAAGTAATACTCTACAAACAATTTTTTCACTCAAAAACTAGAGTGAGTGGAAAGTAGAAATTTTGGGGACTTTTTCTTAATGATTCAATGTGAAAAATACCAAAAACTCAAAGCGATTGAGTTATTATTAATGGAGTTACGATTTTTTGAAAATAATGATGTTTTGTGAAGTAATACTCTACAAACAATTTTTTCACTCAAAAACTAAAGTGAGTGGAAAGTTGAAATTTTGGGGACTTTTTCTTAATGATTCAATGTAAAAAATACCAAAAACTCAAAGCGATTGAGTTATTATTAATGGAGTTACGATTTTTTGAAAATAATGATGTTTTGTAAAGTAATACTCTACAAACAATTTTTTCACTCAAAAACTAAAGTGAGTGGAAAGTTGAAATTTTGGGGTCTTTTTCCTAATGATTCAATGTAAAAAATACCAAAAACTCAAAGCGATTGAGTTATTATTAATGGAGTTACGATTTTTTGAAAATAATGATGTTTTGTAAAGTAATACTCTACAAACAATTTTTTCACTCAAAAACTAGAGTGAGTGGAAAGTAGAAATTTTGGGGACTTTTTCTTAATGATTCAATGTGAAAAATACCAAAAACTCAAAGCGATTGAGTTATTATTAATGGAGTTACGATTTTTTGAAAATAATGATGTTTTGTAAAGTAATACTCTACAAACAATTTTTTCACTCAAAAACTAGAGTGAGTGGAAAGTAGAAATTTTGGGGACTTTTTCTTAATGATTCAATGTGAAAAATACCAAAAACTCAAAGCGATTGAGTTATTATTAATGGAGTTACGATTTTTTGAAAATAATGATGTTTTGTGAAGTAATACTCTACAAACAATTTTTTCACTCAAAAACTAAAGTGAGTGGAAAGTTGAAATTTTGGGGACTTTTTCCTAATGATTCAATGTAAAAAATACCAAAAACTCAAAGCGATTGAGTTATTATTAATGGAGTTACGATTTTTTGAAAATAATGATGTTTTGTGAAGTAATACTCTACAAACAATTTTTTCACTCAAAAACCAAACTGAGTGGAAAGTTGAAATTTTGGGGACTTTTTCCTAATGATTCAATGTAAAAAATACCAAAAACTCAAAGCGATTGAGTTATTATTAATGGAGTTACGATTTTTTGAAAATAATGATGTTTTGTGAAGTAATACTCTACAAACAATTTTTTCACTCAAAAACCAAACTGAGTGGAAAGTTGAAATTTTGGGGACTTTTTCCTAATGATTCAATGTAAAAAATACCAAAAACTCAAAGCAATTGAGTTATTATTAATGGAGTTACGATTTTTTGAAAATAATGATGTTTTGTAAAGTAATACTCTACAAACAATTTTTTCACTCAAAAACTAAAGTGAGTGGAAAGTTGAAATTTTGGGGTCTTTTTCCTAATGATTCAATGTAAAAAATACCAAAAACTCAAAGCGATTGAGTTATTATTAATGGAGTTACGATTTTTTGAAAATAATGATGTTTTGTAAAGTAATACTCTACAAACAATTTTTTCACTCAAAAACTAAAGTGAGTGAAAAGTTGAAATTTTGGGTACTTTTTTCTAATAATTTAATGTAAAAAATACCAAAAACTCAAAGCGATTGAGTTATTATTAATGGAGTTACGATTTTTTGAAAATAATGATGTTTTGTAAAGTAATACTCTACAAACAATTTTTTCACTCAAAAACTAGAGTGAGTGGAAAGTAGAAATTTTGGGGACTTTTTCTTAATGATTCAATGTAAAAAATACCAAAAACTCAAAGCGATTGAGTTTTTATTAATGGAGTTACGATTTTTTGAAAATAATGATGTTTTGTAAAGTAATACTCTATAAACAATTTTTTCACTCAAAAACTAGAGTGAGTGGAAAGTTGAAATTTTGGGGTCTTTTTCCTAATGATTCAATGTAAAAAATACCAAAAACTCAAAGCGATTGAGTTATTATTAATGGAGTTACGATTTTTTGAAAATAATGATGTTTTGTAAAGTAATACTCTACAAACAATTTTTTCACTCAAAAACTAAAGTGAGTGAAAAGTTGAAATTTTGGGTACTTTTTTCTAATAATTTAATGTAAAAAATACCAAAAACTCAAAGCAATTGAGTTATTATTAATGGAGTTACGATTTTTTTTAAAATAATGATGATTTGTAAAGTAATACTCAACAAACAATTTTTTCACACAAAAACTAAAGTGAGTGGAAAGTTGAAATTTTGGGGACTTTTTCCTAATGAATCAATGTAAAAAATACCAAAAACTCAAAGCGATTGAGTTTTTATTAATGGAGTTACGATTTTTTGAAAATAATGATGTTTTGTAAAGTAATACTCTACAAACAATTTTTTCACTCAAAAACTAAAGTGAGTGGAAAGTTGAAATTTTGGGGTCTTTTTCCTAATGATTCAATGTAAAAAATACCAAAAACTCAAAGCGATTGAGTTATTATTAATGGAGTTACGATTTTTTGAAAATAATGATGTTTTGTAAAGTAATACTCTACAAACAATTTTTTCACTCAAAAACTAAAGTGAGTGGAAAGTTGAAATTTTGGGGTCTTTTTCCTAATGATTCAATGTAAAAAATACCAAAAACTCAAAGCGATTGAGTTATTATTAATGGAGTTACGATTTTTTGAAAATAATGATGTTTTGTAAAGTAATACTCTACAAACAATGTTTTCACTCAAAAACTAAAATGAGTGGAAGGTTGAAATTTTGGTGACTTTTTCCTAATGATTCAGTGTAAAAAATACCAAAAACTCAAAGCGATTGAGTTATTATTAATGGAGTTACGATTTTTTTTAAATAATGATGATTTGTAAAGTAATACTCAACAAACAATTTTTTCACTCAAAAACTAAAGTGAGTGAAAAGTTGAAATTTTGGGTACTTTTTTCTAATAATTTAATGTAAAAAATACCAAAAACTCAAAGCAATTGAGTTATTATTAATGGAGTTACGATTTTTTGAAAATAATGATGTTTTGTAAAGTAATACTCTACAAACAATTTTTTCACTCAAAAACTAAAGTGAGTGGAAAGTTGAAATTTTGAGGACTTTTTCCTAATGATTCAATGTAAAAAATACCAAAAACTCAAAGCGATTGAGTTATTATTAATGGAGTTACGATTTTTTGAAAATAATGATGTTTTGTGAAGTAATACTCTACAAACAATTTTTTCACTCAAAAACCAAACTGAGTGGAAAGTTGAAATTTTGGGGACTTTTTCCTAATGATTCAATGTAAAAAATACCAAAAACTCAAAGCGATTGAGTTATTATTAATGGAGTTACGATTTTTTGAAAATAATGATGTTTTGTAAAGTAATACTCTACAAACAATTTTTTCACTCAAAAACTAAAGTGAGTGGAAAGTTGAAATTTTAGGGACTTTTTTACAATGATTCAATGTAAAAAATACCAAAAACTCAAAGCAATTGAGTTATTATTAATGGAGTTACGATTTTTTGAAAATAATGATGTTTTGTAAAGTAATATACTCTACAAACAATTTTTTCACTCAAAAACTAAAGTGAGTGGAAAGTTGAAATTTTGGGGACTTTTTCCTAATGAATCAATGTAAAAAATACCTAAAACTCAAAGCGATTGAGTTATTATTAATGGAGTTACGACTTTCTGAAAATAATGATGTTTTGTAAAGTAATACTAGGTTCTCTAATCTTTGACCTAAAGTTTAAATCCTTTTTTTTATAACAAAAATACTTCATGGGAATCACCGGTAAAAGCGGGGATTTGATCAAAATCACTGGCAAAATCAAGGGTTTTGATCAATTATTTGATTAATTATTGCATCCTGTATTACCTTTTGACCTAAAGTTGAAGGAAAAATAAGTGAAAGGCACAATTTTCCGAGGAAAAAAGAATTCAAAAAGAGGGGCAAACATTAGCAGCCAGTTCTCTTATACTCTTATAACATTCAGTACAATTATTATTCAGCTCTAGGTCACTTCTTCTTGTATTATAGCTGGCGCGACATTTATTTCTTGTGAAAGTTTTGCCTTGAAAAAATTTCGTTTTATCTTATTAATTAAGTTTTATGTGTGAATGACTGTGAATTAATAAGATACTGAAACCAAATGGTGAATTTTTGAATGATTTGTTGTCCATGACTCAAAAGAAAGTGATGAAGAAAGTGAAAATCATGGTGATTATGTTTTGCATATTATTATTTCAAATTTCAATAGGTTATTTACGTATTGATTATTGATTCAAATTTAATAATAATAATCAATGAATGAGGCATTTTCTTATTGTATTTTCCTCAAATTATGACTTAAAACTTTATTAGTTATCAATAATTATTTCTATTGTAGTACCTACTAAGCACCCTAGGAAACTAAAGTTGAGGAAAATATTTAAATGGAGAAGAAGCTTCCTAGGTTCTTAGTACTACATCATTATCATTCATTACTTATTATTAAACTTGTGCGGTAATTTTAAGTTTTCTTACTCAATTACTTGACGAAATTCAATTTTAATGGGACAATTAACACAATTTTAAAGGCAATTTGTTATGTTTCAAAATGTTTTTAATGTCACAGGCACGATGAATTTTCCAATTTTCAATGAATTTTCCCTTTAAAATCATGCAAGATCAACCTTGATCAACTTTTTCATGGTTGATTATGAATATACAAGCCATATAAAGGGAAATAATTTGAAAAGATCATAAGAAAGTGATAAATTCAAAAGCTTTACAGAGGTTATTATATGTATAGTTATATCATATAAATTCAACTTTTGACTATTCCCGGCTTTTGTTTGGACTAATTTGGAGGGATTTGAATAATGGAAATGTTCTTGAGACTTTGAAACCCGAGTTGAAACCTTATCAAGAGCCAGGAATAAGTAAAATTTGAATTATAAAATATCCAAGCTCAATTTTTGAACTATAGATGGGAATACTTAACATTTGAATTAAAATTTTATATAAATTCAAGCTTCAAATTAACTTTTCCATGAAGAGGAAACTTCAATTCAAAAATCCTGAAAGTTTCAAGTCACTATGATCATTGGAAGTATTTTGCACAAGTAACTTTTACAGATTTTAATCATTTTTGCATGCATTAACGTGAGAATAAGCTTCTGAAATTAATTTGGAGCTTCGAATCAACACCAAATTAACTTTTCCTAATAATTTAGTCTATGAGTTTGGGAGTCCCAAACTTTAGGTCAAGGGGTAAACCACCATCCCAGAATTGATGCAAACAATTCCTCAAAGGGGAATTTTTTAAGCATAATTCCTCAAAATTCCTGCAAATTTCTCCAAATTCCTCCAGATACCCCATCACAAATTCCTCCAAATACCCCACCACGAACTTCTGAAACTTTTTGCATGTAAAGAGGAAGGTGAGAAGATCATTTTCCCAAAATTTCAAAATTTTCCAGTGGAAAATAACAACATGAGGAATATCGGAAATCAACCTACAATAACTGAATTAATTGAAAATACTACAGTATCACATATTTCAAAGTTTTCCTGGAAAACTAGAAAAGGGAAAATTTTGAAACTTTTTGCATGTAAAGAGAAAGGTGAGAAGATCATTTTCCCAAAGTTTCAAACTTTTCCAGTGGAAAACAGCAACATAAAAAATCTTGGAAATCAGCCTACAAAAACTGAATTAGTTGAAAATAAATACAGTCTCACATATTTCAGAATTTTCCTGAAAAACTAGTAAAGAGAAAATTTTGAAACCTTCGGCATCTAAAGAGGAAGGTGAGAAGCTCATTTTCCCAAAATTTCAAATTTTTCCAGTGGAAAATAACAACATGAGGAATATTGGAAATCAACCTACAAAAACTGAATCAGTTGAAAATACAGTCTCACACATTTAAAAGTTTTCCTGGAAAACTAGGGAAGGGAAAATTTTGAAACTTTTTGCATGTAAAGAGGAAAGTGAGAAGCTCATTTTCCCAAAATTTCAAATTTTTCCAGTGGAAAATAACAACATGAGGAATATTGGAAATCAACCTACAATAACTGAATTAATAATACAGTCTTACACATTTCAAAGTTTTCCTATAAAACTAGTAAAGAGAAAATTTTGAAACTTTTTGCATGTAAAGAGGAAGGGGAGAAGCTCTTTTTCTCAAAATTTCGAAATTTTCCAGTGGAAAACAGCAACATGAAAAATCCTGGAAATCAACCTACAAAAACTGAATTAGTTGAAAATACAGTCTCACACATTTCAAAGTTTTCCTGGAAAACTAGTGAAGGGAAATTTTTGAAACTTTTTGTATGTAAAGAGGACGGTGAGAAGCTCATTTTCCCAAAATTTCAAATTTTTCCAGTGGAAAATAACAACATGAGGAATATTGGAAATCAACTTACAATAACTGAATTAGTTGAAAATACAGTCTCACATATTTCAAAGTTTTTCTGGAAAACTAATGAAGCGAAAATTTTGAAACTTTTTGCATGTAAAAAGGAAGGTGAGAAGCTCATTTTCCCAAAATTTCAAATTATTCCAGTGAAAAATACCAACATGAAAAAAACCTACAAAAACTGAATTAGTTGAAAATACAGTCTCACGCATTTCAAAGTTTTCCTGGAAAACTAGTGAAGGGAAAATTTTGAAACTTTTTGCATGTAAAGAGGAAGGTGAGAAGCTCATTTTCCCAGAATTTGAAAATTTTCCAGTAGAAAATTACAACATGAGGAATATTGAAAATCAACCTACAATAACTGAATTAATCGAAAATACAGTCTCACACATTTCAAAGATTTCCTGAAAAACTAGTGAAGGGAAAATTTTGAAATTTTTTGCATGTAAAGAAAAAGGTGAGAAGCTTATTTTCCCAAAATTTCAAATTTTTCCAGTGGAAAACAGCAACATGAAAAATCTTGTGGAAATCAACCTACAAAAACTGAATTAATTGAAAATACAGTCTCACACATTTAAAAGTTTTCCTGGAAAAAATAGTGAGGGGGATATTTTGAAACTTTTCACAAGTAAAGAAGAAGGTGAGAAGCTCATTTTCCCAAAATTTCAAATGTTTTCAGTGGAAAATACCAACATCTTGGAAATCAGCCTACAAAAACTATATGCAATATTTTACACAATTTGAATAATTGTAATATTTCTCTCATTAATGATGCTATCAATTCTTTATCTTCAATCCATAATACCTTTTGGGTCGTATATAAAACTACACATTCCAAATAACCACTATAATTAAGCTTGTTTACTTATCAAACCGTTATTTACCGGTACATCCAATAACAAACACCCATGTAAACCAGGTTACTTTTTGCACAATAGATGCGTGGTTCTAGGTCGCTTTTTTAACGACATTATTTCTTATACGTATAGTCTTATAAAACCTGTTATTATAAAACCTCTAATCATCAGAGGATGAGCTGCAAGAAGAATTATGGTGTTTAAAATAATTACAATTGTTACATACATCATAATGCGGAAAGATTAAAAAAAAAAAGAGAAAATCAAAATTAATATATGTATTTTTAAATTGAATAAATCACAATCACCAATATCCTGGTTTCACTTTGATTTTGATTTCCAGCTACCAAATGCAATTTACCTGGCCCTATTGGCATCGTTTACAACAGCCTTTAATCTACAAGACTTTGTCAAAGCAGAAGAAGTAAACGTAGCCTCAAAAGTACCAAGATCCATCAACAGCAACCATCAGGGGGTAAGAACAAATTTATTAACAGAAAACCTTATCTATCAACATCACCAAAAACCACATCTATACTGGCCAAAATGGCAACAACGTCACTTAATAAGTGGTTTTTAGCCATGTAACTCATACCGCTTAAATGTATAAAACCTGGAGCGCGGATTTTGCACCTGTAAGGCTTGGAACTTCCGTCTGAAACCAAATAAACCCCAAACTCGCCCTTTGGATGTTCAATGGCTGTATAAGTTGATCCAGGAGGCACATTGAAGCCCCTTGAGAAAACTTTAAAGTGGCAAATTAAGCCTTCCATAGATGATTTCATTTCAGCTCTTTTAGGTGGACTTATTCGGTTATCATCAACTTTGATATCTCCTAAAGGCATTTTGTTCAAAAGTTGTTCAATCTAGAATTGTTTAATATTGATGAAGTAAGCATAATAATAATAATAATAGTTACCATTCTTATAGATTGCCTCATTTCTTCTACTCTTAACTTATATCTATCATAAACATCTCCAGCAGTGCCTATTGGTACATCAAACTCAAGCTCGTCATAGACTTCATAAGGCTGCGCCTTTCTTATATCCCACTTAATACCGGAAGCCCTAAGCATGGGCCCAGAAAAGCCTCTATTTAAAGCCTCATGTGCGGAAACAATTCCAACATTTTTAATCCGATGCATAAATAACCGGTTGGTGGTCACCAAATCTTCAAGTTCATCTAGACGTTCGGGCAATATACTGACCAGTTGATGAATATCGTCCATAAGGCCTAAAGGCATATCTTGAGATACTCCTCCTATTCTAAAATAGCCCCCGTGCATCCTGCTTCCGCACACACGTTCGCATAGCTCGTAAATTTTTTCTCTTTCTTCAAACAGCCAAAATAAGGGAGTTATAGCTCCGATGTCAAGGGCTAAAAATGCAGTGCCTGCTAAATGGTTTAGGAGTCTTGTAAGCTCGGAAAAAAGAGTTCGAATGAATTTTGCTCTACGAGGAATCTACAATAGATAATTCTAGATTTTGGAAAGCTTTGATGAAAATCTTACTTCAATGTTAAGTAACTTTTCTGCAGCCAAACAAAACGCATGCTCATTGCACAAAACCGAAATATAATCCAACCTATCAAAATAAGGCACAGCTTGTACATAAGTTTTATACTCAATCAACTTTTCAGTGCCTCGATGCAATAGCCCAATATGCGGATCGAGACGTCTTACAATCTCGCCTTCCAGGTATAAGATCATCCTCAAGCAACCGTGCGCAGCGGGATGCGCAGGTCCGAAATTGATGCGCACGTTTCGCATTTTCGTGTGGACTTTCGGGAATTCGTCTCCGGCCCACGGTTTTCGTTTCCACGTGGAAGTGGTGGCGTCCGGGTAGCAAACTGGGCCCATGAAGAATTTGAAGTAGTCGGTGTCGGGGTGCCAGCGGTGGGCGAGACGGACTTGGAGGGTGACGAGGGTTTTTTTGAGGAGGGTTTGCATTTTTTGCTGATTGTGTCAAGTTTAGTTTGACAGTAGGGCTTCATGAGTGCGTTCAAAAATGAATGTAATGAGTAATTTCATGGAGAAACTATTATTATTCGTATTATCACCCATAAGTTCCGCAACAATTCACTTATTTGTACTTGAACAATAACTTATTATATAAAGCCAAAATTAGTAAGATTATGATTATTCACTTTTTGTTAATTTGCTTTTCAACAGGAATTAGTAATGTTACTTTACCAAACTAGTAACATAATGTGATAAGTTATTCAAGTATAAATGAGTGAATTGTTGCGGAACTTATAGGTGGACCTCTGCGGGGCGAGCGCAGCGAGTTCCGCAGCCATCTATTTATCAATATGTTGTTTAATAAGGATAGTAATCTGATTTACTCAAATGTGAGTTATTCTCATTAGTTTAAAAACTACACGTTTCAGGTGAGTGTCTTATTTGATCAATCCAACAGTATATTGGTGAATATTAATGGAGTTATGATTTTTTTTAAATAATGATGTTTTGTAAAGTAATATACTCTACAAACAATTTTTTCACTCAAAAACTAAAGTGAGTGAAGAGTTGAAATTTTGAGGACTTTTTCCTGAAAACTCAATATAAGAAATACCAAAAACTCAAAGCAATCGAGTTATTATTATTGGAGTTATGATTTTTTTTTGAAATAATAATGTTATGTAAAGTAATACTCTAGAAACAATTTTTTCACTCAAAAACTAAAGTGAGTAGAGAGTTGAAATTTTGAGGACTTTTTCCTAAAGACTCAATGTAAAAAATACGAAAAACTCAAAGCGATTGAGTTATTATCAATGGAGTTATGATTTTTTTTAAATAATGATATTATGTAAAGTAATACTCTACAAACAATTTTTTCACTCAAAAACTAAAGTGAGTGAAGAGTTGAAATTAGGAGGACTTTTTCCTAAAGACTCAATGTTAAAAATACCGAAAACTCAAAGCGATCGAGTTATTATTAATGGAGTTATGATTTTTTAAAAAAAATAATGTTATGTAAAGTAATACTCTACAAACAATTTTTTCACTCAAAAACTATAGTGAGTGGAGAGTTGAAATTTTGGGAACTTTTTCCTAAAGATTTAATGTAAAAAATACTAAAAACTCAAAGCGATTGAGTTATTATTAATGAAGTTATGATTTTTTTGAAATAATGATGTTTTGTAAAGTAAAACTTTACAAACAATTTTTTCATTGAAAAAGTAAAGTGAGTGGAGAGTTGAAATTTTGAGGACTTTTTCCTAAAGGCTCAATGTAGAAAATACTGAAAACTCAAAGCGACTGAGCTATTATTAATGGAGTTATGATTTTTTTTAAATAATGATGTTTTGTAAGGTAAGACTTTACAATTTTTTCACTCAAAAACTAAAGTGAGTGGAGAGTTGAAATTTTGGGAACTTTTTCCTAAAGTTTCAATGTAAAAAATACTAAAAACTCAAAGCGATTGAGTTATTATTAATGAAGTTATGATTTTTTTAAAATAATGATGTTTTGTAAAGTAAAACTTTACAATTTTTTCATTGAAAAAGTAAAGTGAGTGGAGAGTTGAAATTTTGAGGACTTTTTCCTAAAGGCTGAATGTAATGTTAATGTTATTGCTTTTACGTGTTTCAGCTGCCAGGATACCGATCCTTGTTGGCTGTTGAAAAATTCTGTAAACCGATTTCTAATTTGAAATGCTTCAACAGTGGAATTTCCGCCCGAGGGTTTTAACCTAATCATATTATCCTTAGTCAATATCTTCTAATTACATTAAAATCGGATTGAAATTAACAAAGTTGTGAGACAAAATGTGTCATCCAGCCTTAGGAGAGCCGGGAATAGAAATTTCACGCTTCACGAATATTTAAAACTTTTGTACATTTCCAACTTCCTTCGAGCATTCAGAATCTTAAAAATAAGTTGACAACTTCCAGGTTGAAAACAAAGAAACCACAATCAAAGAAGTCGAACATCTAATCCGATCAAACCCAGACTTACCTAGACTGACCCGAGGCGAAATCCTAGACATCCTGGACAACATAACCAAACAAGACGAAATAAACCTAGTCGGCTCCAACAATAGAGACCCTAAAGCCCTAATGGTAGTCAAAGCCTACACACCTTTAGGCTCAGGCGAAATAAATTTCGAAGAACTCTACACCAAACCACCCCTCACCAGTATTGTTGATGATGAAACTACAACTACAGAAAATGTGCGGCCAAAACCTTCAACAGACAAATTTTATGTTAGAAAGAAACCTTCAAGGGGGCAAGTACAGTTCAAAGCAACTACAAGCACAGAAAGATTGATTACAAGGGGGCAAACAATTACAACTCCAGAAAGATTGACTACAAGGGGGCAAACAACTACAACTCCAGAAACATCAACTACAAGAAGACGAAGAATAAGGCCTACAAGGACTACAACTACAATGATGCCAACTACTTATAGACCAAGGTATTATTTTGTTGAAGTTTATATATGAATTATGAAGTTATTTTTTAGACGTCGTCAACCTCCAAGAAAAGAAATCCAATATTCAAACCACAAATATCCATTGATGGAACAATCACGCTATTCGTCTCAAGGCATCAGAATTGTGCCACCTCCTTCAATGGCTTCAGAAATCAATTCTGAGCTGGAAGATTTGCTGCCTCAAGAGGGCGAACATAAGGAACAGTTCATGCCAATGTCTAATAACACTAGTAGCACATTTTCTGAGCCTTCAATAGAGCTTGAGGTAAGGGATTAATATCATCATCAAACTAATTTCTGAGTGATGTTTTTTTTTTTTAAATTGTAGATTCCTGACCATTTAAAACAAGTTGTTGCCGACTTGAATTTAGGAGCTATACGTCCAACAGAAAATAAAAAAGCTGAAAAGGTTTTAGCTTCAATAGGAGTTTCGACTCAAGCTTCACCCAATGCTGACGCAATAGCTGACAGTTTATCTCCAGACATGCAAGAGTTGCTGAAAAGTTTCGGCCTGTTGCCCCAACAAGACAAAAAAAACGAGCTCGAGTCACAGTTTAGTCCGGAAAAGGCCGAAACCAATCCTGAATCTTATATTGGTTTTAAGCCTTTGCCTGAAGACAACATTGGCAGAAAAGATATGGAAGAATTGTTGACACAATTTGGTTTGTTGGATCACAATGAGAGAAATGGTAGGACATTGAAAACAGCTGAGTCTTTGAAACTGGAACAAATCTCGTTGGAAGCAGTTCCAGACGATCTAAAATCGGTTTTACATGATATGGGTTTTGAGCCTACAAGGGTTGAAAGGAAAATCAGGGACCTAAAAGAACCAATCAAAGCTTCTAAGCATATTTTCAAGCCTGATAAAGTTGTTCCAGACGAAGAACTACAAAAACTGGCACGCCTAATGGAAATAATGAAGAAACTCGAATTAAAAAAAGGTAACATAACTGAAGAAGACCTAAAACAAATCAACAAAGAAGACCTTAAAGATTTGGTAGCTAGTTTGAAGCAACACAATGGCCCTAATCCTATTGAAGATGATTTAGGCCTCGAGAAAAATGCCTTTAAAAGACAAGAAACAACCACACAAACTATGGAAACAATAACTCCTTCAATGAAAGATTTAGAAGATTCGTTTGGCGGTTCAAGTGAAACTGTTACTGAGTCTTTGCCTGAAACTACTACAGCAAAAAGGAGCGGTTTTTATTATTTGCTAGATTTGAATACTTTTTTGGAAATTGATGATCAGAAAGGGAAAAGGGTTAATTTGAGATTCCAGCCTAAAGTTGGGGATCCTAAGAGTTTTTACAGTGTGAATGTACCTTAAGGAGGATTTTGATTATTGTTTTTTTTTGTATATAATTAGTTGTAAAATATTGCTCAAATAAACTTGATTTGTTTTCTTTTTTTTTTGTGAATTTATGGGCATTTTTGGATTAGAATTTAACTTTGGAGCTCAATTGCTCAAAGTCTATGGAAGTAACAGAAGTCGTTATTGGGCTGGATTTATAGAGAATTTAATTCTCTTTCAGAAAATCTATAATACAAGTCGATTGGTTGGGAATTACGGAAACTGTGAGCAAATTTCTAAGACCATGTCAGGATATCAAAAGCTTTGTATGGCCAATTTTTGGAAATATTGTGATACTTGTTTTAGACTAATTTTGACCTTATTTTTCCCTTGGGAAAATCAGAATTTTTCAAAAATGGAAAATTGAAAATATGGTTTTTTCAGGTAGGTAGGTACTTACCCCTTTGAATTTTTGATTCAAAAGTTTCAATGTGTGATATCTCAATAACCATAAAAGGTATCGAGACAAATTTTTCTGAGATTTTACCTTTCATTAAGATTAAGTGCTTTAATGTGGTATTTGAAAAATATTTGTAGCGCCAGTAGTTTTTGAGCAATTTGAGTTTGAAGTTTTGCATGAAATTTAGGCAAAATTCTAACTTTGAGGCTCAATTTCTCGAAGCCTATACATGCAAATGAATTCATATTTAGAGGATTTATAGAGAATTTAATCCTCTTTCAGAAAACCTATAATAAAAGTTGATTCGTTGAAAATTACGGAAAGTGTGAGCGAATTTTTGAGACCATGTCAGGACATCAAACATTTTCTAGGGCTAAAAAGGATGGTTTTTTACTATTTTGTAAATCTGCTTTTTGAGAAAATGTAAGACTTGTTCTACACTAATTTTGACGTCTTCTTTCGATTGGAAAAGTCAAAAATTGAAGAAAATTGAAAATGGAGAATTTTATTTTTTAAGGTAGGTACTTACCCCTTTGAATTTTTTATTCAAAATCTTCAATGTGTGATATCTGGATAATCATAAGAGCTATCAAGCCAAATTTTTCTGAGATTGTAGCTCTCATTAAATGCTTTAATGTGGTATTCGAAAAATATTTGTATCACCTATGGTTTTTGAGCAATTAGAACCTAAAGTTTTGGATGAAATTTTAGCAAAATTCTTATTTTGAGGCTCAATTTCTCAGAATCTATAAAAGCAACTGAAATCAAATTTAGAGGATTTATAGAGAATTTAATCCTCTTTCAGAAAACCTTATAATACAAGCTGATTCGTTAAAAATTACGGAAACTGCGAGCAAATGTCTGCAACTATGTCAGGACATCAATAACTTTCTATGACATAAAGGGAAATTAATTCTAATCGCATATACATACAAACAAAAAAAAAACTACATCAAACATCATTTATTCACATTTTCGAAACAGGTTTGAGCCCTAAAATATCAAAACACCGCTCCATAATCATAGCAGCAGCCTCAGCAAGCAAAATCCTGCCAACATGTATTTTAACAACATCCCCCGAAGAATCCTTTTCAATACAATAACAAGCATCATAGAATTCCGTAAAAGTAGTGGCGATTTCATAGACGTACTCGCACAAGTGATGCAAGCAAAGATCCTCAGTGATTTTAAGTAAAACGTCTGAGAATCGCACTAGGACTTTGGCTAGTTTCCACTCTTTTTCATGCTCCAAAGAAATCTTGTTTGTTTTTGCTAATTCTTTAAGCTGTTCACTAGTAAAATTAGCATTCCTTGCAATCGATCTTATACGGGTAAACGCATACAAAAGATACACCGCAGTATTGCCTTTATCCTCAAGCATTTTATCAAAAGAAAAAACATATTCGTGGTTCCTATTGTGTGATAAGTCTGAGTATTTGATGCAACCATAAGCAATGGATTCTTGGGCCTTTTGCAGCTCCTGGGATGTCAAAACCTTATCGCGTTCTTTTTCTTTTAGTTTGTCCAAGGAACGTTTGAGGCCTTCGTCTAGTAAGTCAATTAGGCGGACAGTGTCACCTGATCGGGTTTTGAATTTTTTTTTATCCTCGCCCAATACTACACCGAAACCTACGTGGTCCACCCTAAATAGAATTGTTTGTATTTTTACTTGAAAATTTAGTATGATATGTTTCAAAGCTGCCCCTAATAACAAAGCTGTATTTCCTAAGGTTTCCATCCAAACAACTTGAAAATTTACTAAAACATGCTTCAAACCTTCCTTTCACTCCTCACTAAATTGCAAATTAAAACTTAGAACAGTTTATGAGTAAAAAAATCACTTACATCCTTGTGTCTGGATTATTGAAAAATTCCCTCTATAATCGAACTACTTCAGGCTGTATTTTTCAAAGTTTTCACTCAAACAACTTGAAAATTTACTAAAACATGCTTCAAACCTCCCTTTCACTCCTCACTAAATTGCAAATTGATACTTAGAACAGTTCATGAGTAAAAAAATCACTTACAACCTTGTGTCTGGATTATTGAAAAATTCCCTCAATAATCGAACTACTTCAGGCTGTATTTTTTAAAGTTTTCACTCAAATAACTTGAAAATTTACTAAAACCTGCTTCAAACCTTCCTTTCACTCCTCACTAAATTGCAAATTAATACTTAGAACAGTTCATGAGTAAAAAAATCACTTACATCCTTGTGTCTGGATTATTGAAAAATTCCCTTGATAATCAAACTACTTCAAGCTGTATTTTTTAAAGTTTTCACTCAAATAACTTGAAAATTTACTAAAACCTGCTTCAAACCTTCCTTTCACTCCTCACTAAATTGCAAATTAAAACTTAGAACAGTTTATGAGTAAAAAAATCACTTACATCCTTGTGTCTGGATTATTGAAAAAATTCCCTCAATAATCGAACTACTTCAGGCTGTATTTTTTTAAAGTTTTCACTCAAACAACATGAAAATTTACTAAAACATGCTTCAAACCTTCCTTTCACTCCTCACTAAATTGCAAATTAATACTTAGAACAGTTCATGAGTAAAAAAATCACTTACATCCTTGTGTCTGGATTATTGAAAAATTCCCTCAATAATCGAACTACTTCAGGCTGTATTTTTTAAAGTTTTCACTCAAATAACTTGAAAATTTACTAAAACCTGCTTCAAACCTTCCTTTCACTCCTCACTAAATTGCAAATTAATACTTAGAACAGTTCATGAGTAAAAAAATCACTTACATCCTTGTGTCTGGATTATTGAAAAATTCCCTTGATAATCAAACTACTTCAAGCTGTATTTTTTAAAGTTTTCACTCAAATAACTTGAAAATTTACTAAAAACCTGCTTCAAACCTTCCTTTCACTCCTCACTAAATTGCAAATTAAAACTTAGAACAGTTTATGAGTAAAAAAAATCACTTACATCCTTGTGGTCTGGATTATTGAAAAATTCCCTCAATAATCGAACTACTTCAGGCTGTATTTTTTTAAAGTTTTCACTCAAACAACTTGAAAATTTACTAAAACATGCTTCAAACCTCCCTTTCACTCCTCACTAAATTGCAAATTAATACTTAGAACAGTTCATAAGTAAAAAAATCACTTACATCCTTGTGTCTGGATTATTGAAAAATTCCCTTGATAATCAAACTACTTCAAAGCTGTATTTTTTAAAGTTTTCACTCAAATAACTTGAAAATTTACTAAAACCTGCTTCAAACCTTCCTTTCACTCCTCACTAAATTGCAAATTAAAACTTAGAACAGTTTATGAGTAAAAAAATCACTTACATCCTTGTGTCTGGATTATTGAAAAATTCCCTCAATAATCGAACTACTTCAGGCTGTATTTTTTAAAGTTTTCACTCAAATAACTTGAAAATTTACTAAAACCTGCTTCAAACCTTCCTTTCACTCCTCACTAAATTGCAAATTAATACTTAGAACAGTTCATGAGTAAAAAAAATCACTTACATCCTTGTGTCTGGATTATTGAAAAATTCCCTTGATAATCAAACTACTTCAAGCTGTATTTTTTTAAAGTTTTCACTCAAATAACTTGAAAATTTACTAAAACCTGCTTCAAACCTTCCTTTCACTCCTCACTAAATTGCAAATTAAAACTTAGAACAGTTTATGAGTAAAAAAATCACTTACATCCTTGTGTCTGGATTATTGAAAAATTCCCTCAATAATCGAACTACTTCAGGCTGTATTTTTTAAAGTTTTCACTCAAACAACTTGAAAATTTACTAAAACATGCTTCAAACCTCCCTTTCACTCCTCACTAAATTGCAAATTAATACTTAGAACAGTTCATAAGTAAAAAAATCACTTACATCCTTGTGTCTGGATTATTGAAAAATTCCCTTGATAATCAAACTACTTCAAGCTGTATTTTTTAAAGTTTTCACTCAAATAACTTGAAAATTTACTAAAACCTGCTTCAAACCTTCCTTTCACTCCTCACTAAATTGCAAATTAATACTTAGAACAGTTCATGAGTAAAAAAATCACTTACATCCTTGTGTCTGGATTATTGAAAAATTCCCTTGATAATCAAACTACTTCAAGCTGTATTTTTTAAAGTTTTCACTCAAATAACTTGAAAATTTACTAAAACCTGCTTCAAACCTTCCTTTCACTCCTCACTAAATTGCAAATTAAAACTTAGAACAGTTTATGAGTAAAAAAATCACTTACATCCTTGTGTCTGGATTATTGAAAAATTCCCTCAATAATCGAACTACTTCAGGCTGTATTTTTTAAAGTTTTCACTCAAACAACTTGAAAATTTACTAAAACATGCTTCAAACCTCCCTTTCACTCCTCACTAAATTGCAAATTAATACTTAGAACAGTTCATAAGTAAAAAAATCACTTACATCCTTGTGTCTGGATTATTGAAAAATTCCCTTGATAATCAAACTACTTCAAGCTGTATTTTTTAAAGTTTTCACTCAAATAACTTGAAAATTTACTAAAACCTGCTTCAAACCTTCCTTTCACTCCTCACTAAATTGCAAATTAATACTTAGAACAGTTCATGAGTAAAAAAATCACTTACATCCTTGTGTCTGGATTATTGAAAAATTCCCTTGATAATCAAACTACTTCAAGCTGTATTTTTTAAAGTTTTCACTCAAATAACTTGAAAATTTACTAAAACCTGCTTCAAACCTTCCTTTCACTCCTCACTAAATTGCAAATTAAAACTTAGAACAGTTTATGAGTAAAAAAATCACTTACATCCTTGTGTCTGGATTATTGAAAAATTCCCTCAATAATCGAACTACTTCAGGCTGTATTTTTTAAAGTTTTCACTCAAACAACTTGAAAATTTACTAAAACATGCTTCAAACCTTCCTTTCACTCCTCACTAAATTGCAAATTAATACTTAGAACAGTTCATGAGTAAAAAAATCACTTACATCCTTGTGTCTGGATTATTGAAAAATTCCCTCAATATTCGAACTACTTCAGGCTGTATTTTTTAAAGTTTTCACTCAAACAACTTGAAAATTTACTAAAACATGCTTCAAACCTTCCTTTCACTCCTCACTAAATTGCAAATTAATACTTAGAACAGTTCATAAGTAAAAAAATCACTTACATCCTTGTGTCTGGATTATTGAAAAATTCCCTTGATAATCGAACTACTTCAGGCTGTATTTTTTAAAGTTTTCACTCAAACAACTTGAAAATTTACTAAAACATGCTTCAAACCTTCCTTTCACTCCTCACTAAATTGCAAATTAATACTTAGAACAGTTCATGAGTAAAAAAATCACTTACATCCTTGTGTCTGGATTATTGAAAAATTCCCTTGATAATCAAACTACTTCAAGCTGTATTTTTTAAAGTTTTCACTCCAATAACTTGAAAAGTTACTAAAACCTGCTTCAAACCTTCCTTTCACTCCTCACTAAATTGCAAATTGTTACTTGGAACAGTTCATGAGAAAAAAAATCACTTACAACCTTGTGTCTGGATTATTGAAAAATTCGCTCAATAATCGAACTACTTCAGGCTGTATTTTTTAAAGTTTTCACTCAAACAACTTGAAAATTTACTAAAACATGCTTCAAACCTTCCTTTCACTCCTCACTAAATTGCAAATTAACACTTAGAACAGTTCATGAGTAAAAAAATCACTTACATCCTTGTCTGGATTATTGAAAAATTCCCTCAATAATCGAACTACTTCAGGCTGTATTTTTTAAAGTTTTCACTCAAACAACTTGAAGTTTTACTAAAACATGCTTCAAACCTTCCTTTCACTCCCCTCCAAATTGCAAATGAATATACTTGAAATAGTTCATGACAAAAAAAAACATTTACATCCTTGTGTATATACTGCTAATAGTCAAAACTACTTCAGACTCTATTTTTTAAAGTTTTCACTCAAACAACTTGAAAATTTACTATGACATGCCTCAAACCTTCCTTTAAATATATATCTTGGCTCAGCAATAAATTCCAACAAATAATATAAAAACTTACCTGTGTATTTGTTCGTTGAGGATTCCAGCTTTCCTAGCGCAACCAAACAAAGTATAGAAATGCGTAGCTTGTCCTCCATCAGTGACGTAAATAATCCAATCAACTTTTTCTTCTTCTAGACGATGCTTAATAGCAGCCATATCAGAAGTGTCATAGGTAAAGCCACCATCTGACTTTATGATGGTTAAAGGGACATTTCCATAATCACCTGGAAAGAACTCCTTCTATTATTGGAGTCCAGAGTCCAAATAACAAACTGGGAAAGAGTTAGAAGACTCTCCAATCTGACATGCAGAAATTTTACAAAAGAAAAGACTGAGGAAAAGACTGTCATTTTTATTAAACATATAAGTAGAGGGATGTTACTGTTAGTTAAAAATAGAATAGAGCTAAAATCCCTTACCCCACATAATTTTCCTTCCCTCATCCTCCTCCAAATACCCTCCAGCTTTCAGCTCCTTAACAATTTTCTCCATACGAGTTTGATAAAACGACTCGCCCCTTTCAGTAACCTTAATGTCCAACCTATCATAAATCTTCTGAAATTCCTTCCTTGAAACATCACAAATCAACTTCCAGCCCTTAATATGATCCTTATCAAAAGATTGCAGTTTGACCACACAAGCATAAGCCCTTTTTTTGAAATCCTCATCTTCATCAAACCGTTTTTTTGATTCCTTATAGAACCCTTGCAGATCGCTTATGGGGGGAGATTTAATGGTATAATCAGGAAATTTGTCTTGAAGATGGGCTAGTAACATACCAAATTGCGTACCCCAATCCCCAACATGGTTGATTCTAAGTACTTCATGGCCTAAGTACTCTAAAAGGCGACAAACACTTTCGCCTATTATTGTTGATCTTAGATGGCCTACATGCATTTCCTTGGCAATGTTTGGGGATGAGAAATCTACAAGGATTTTCTTTTTTTGTTTGAGGGCAGGGGGCTGGACACCTTCATTGAAAATAGACGAGATTGCTTGCAAAACGAATTGTTTTTTGAGGAAGATGTTTATAAAACCTGGCCCGGCTATTTCTAGTTTTTCTATTAGATTGTTTGCAGGCAGGTTTTCTAGGATTTTTGTGCTAATTTCTCTTGGAGAGATTTTTTTGCCTAAACCAACAAAATCTACATAGAATAATTATTGTCTTAATATAACAAATACATTTACCAAGTTGCTTGTATAGGTTTGCAATTGGCATTGCAGAATTGCATTGGTAATCGCCAAATTTTGCAGACAAAGCTATATCTATTGGGGCCTCAGGGATGTCAGGGCAGGCATTGGTAATAGCCCTTGCAAATAGATTGTGGAGGGTTTTTAGGATGCTTTGCAGCCCTTTTTCCTCACTTTGGGCCATTATAGCCTACAATATTGGGCCACATATGGAGTCAAATTTTTATAAATTGTAAATCTTACCTTATTTAATATGGCTAATCGATGCTTTAGCTTAGTGTTTTCAGCTTGCAGCTTCGTCAATTCTGGATCTGTAGCTGTGCCAGCTTTCAGGATTTCCAGTTGCTGTTTTAAAAGGTTCACTTGGATTTCCTTAGAAAAATTGAATACAGGATTGAGAATTAAGGGGTTTTTTGTAACTTACAGCTTCGTCGGCCTCTTTAGCGTACTGTTTTATATTATTTAGGTCCATAATTTATTTAAAAAAGGCACTAAATACTTAGGAAAAGGGGTAAACAAAAAGTGAGGTTAGGAAACTTTCTGTCAGGGCAACGATGTAGTAATTTATTTTTTATCTCTTTTTAATGCACACGATTGAAAAAGGATAAAGTATATCAGCTGATGATCTTAGCTAAACGGATCGTACCATTAGAAAAATAACCTCAATTATTTTAAATCATTAATTTTATAAACATTTCCTAATTATTTATAACTAAATGCAATGTTATCGTTAATATCGCGTAGCAAGTGGCTCAGTAAATCAGCGAAATGCCTCAGAACAGTTTCGGCTCAGACAGCGCTGACTCAGAACAATGAAAAGCCCAAAGACGTGCTCAGAAAGCAAGTTTTAGAGTACAGGCACGTTTACCCGGAGTTTTTGCCTGATCCGAACCCGGATTTCCGGAATTCGCTCAGGGAAAAGCTGGAGCGGAACGATATGGTCGCTCGGAGGACTCAGATTGATATACCAGAGTTTTATGTTGGTAAGTTAATTGTCTATTAATTATCATTGTACAGTCTTGATTAAACGGATAATTTAATGAAAAATTGTATAGTTTGCTTACCTTTTGTTGTTATTTAATTATTTTATTATTATTATATGTTTATTAATCCATTTAAGTCTTCCTACAATATGCCTATCCTTGTTTTTTTTCAAAACTAGCTTCAACTCAATATTATTTTTTATCCTTTTCTTTCTCATACAAATTAAAATGAAACAGATATAGTTCAAAAATGTCTGCCTGATAGTGAGGTAAATCCTAACCTCACTTTAATTTGAATTTGTTTATGTATGTTTCCCAAGAAAGTACAATAATTATTTATTATTTAACTGTGAAAATACAATGAGCCCTAAAAAGAAAGCAGCTCAAGGTTGTCGGAAAATATCGAGTTTCTTTAAAAAACAATCTCCTAATGCTCAGGTACCAAAATCCACAGAAATAATAACCGTTAACGATGATGAAGAAGAAGAATCAGAGAGTTTATTGGACCCAAAGTATGGTAAACGAAGGCTTAGTGTATCTGGTATAACTCCACCAGCTAAAAAGGGTTCTCAACCATCAACCAGTGGTATAACTGAAGCAATACAAGTTTCTGAAACAACATTAACATCACCATCTACCAGTGGAGGAACTCCGGTAAAAATTCGTGTTAAAACTCCTGAAAAATTACTAAAGACTCCTAAGAAAAGCCCTAGAAGTTCTTCAAAAAAGCTATTCAACAAATCCCCAAGCAACATTAGCCAATTCAACGTAGAAGTCTTAAGAAACTTTGTCAAAATAACCCCAACCAAAAAAGAAGTCCAGCACAATGAAGCCCAACTCCAAAACGAAAAAACACCCACAAAAACCCCAAGCACCAGCTCAAAATCTCCAGCTTCAAAAGTAAAAACAAAATTAAACTTTGAAAAACTTGCATCAGCCAAAGAAAACATTGACACAAACAACCTTGATGAAGATTGGGATTTTATTATTGAAGAATTCAATTTGGATTTATCTGAATCAAAACACTGCAAAATAGTCCAGCTAAACAAAAAATCCTCCGAAATCATTATAACAGTTAAATCAACTCAAACCAATGACCAAGCCTTGTGTGTCCTACAAGACTTTTGGATGCACCACAACTTGTCAATAGGAGACACAATTCACCTCAAGGCAATCAAACAAAACGACAATTGGCTTATAAACAACAAAAATGGTCTCTTAGTCTACGAGCCTGATTTACTAATATCCACAACTGCTATAGTGAATTCAGTCTTTTGCAAAAGGCGCACCATATTTTCTGAAAAATTCAGAGGCTTTGATACAACTAATAAATTCATGATTGTTGGCAACATTGTACACACTCTATTGGAAGATGTTTTAAGACAAAAACTATATTTACTAAATCAAATAAAAACCTGCGCCCTAAGCATCTTAAACAGAAATGATTATATAAGACAAATATATGAAAGTGGTGAATCAATTGAGTTTATTACCAAAGAAGTTTCGGATTATGTGCTAAAAATCCACGAGTTTGTTGAAACTTACATCAAACAACTCAAACCCCATCAAAAAAATAACTGGAAAGGCACAATTTCTGGCATAGAAGATATTGAAGAGAACATTTGGTGTCCAGACTTGGGAGTCAAAGGCAAAGTAGATGTTAGTGTTAAGCACCTAAAACATATAATGCCTTTAGAAGTAAAAACTGGCAGAGCAACTGTTTCATTAGAACACAGAGGCCAAGTCCTGCTATATTTGATGATGATGTCCAAACTAAACTATCCAGTCTCTTCAGGGCTGTTGCTCTATTTAAAAGAAGGCATTGTAAAAGAAATCCCATCCTCAGCTGCAGAGAAAAGAGACTTGATTATCCTACGTAATGAGCTTGCTTATTATTTGCTGAAAGTGCCTAAAGTTGAGAAAAATGAAGAAGGCATTTGCGTGGAACCAGCTGAAGTGCCTGCACCTATTGATCATCCTTGTTGCAGCAAGTGTCCTTACAATACAATTTGTATGGCGTATTCAACTTATACTAATGAGGATTTGAGTGAAAAGAAGACTTTGAGAAAGGTAAGTAATTGTTTCAAATTAATTGGGACTTAAGAGAAAACATGAGAAAGTTGTAAGTTCATTTTGAGATGTCCAAGTTATTGTGTTGTGCTTGCAAAAATCTAACAGGTTTAGATCTAGGAGGTAGTCTGAGAATCTCTATTTGTGGAGATCTTTTTGGAACTTCATTGATATCGTTGGATCTGCAAGGATATCCTGGTATATCCTTGGATCTTTATGGAAATCATTTGGATTTTCATGGATTTTCTGTGTATCTCTTATATATTCATGAATTTCCACAGATGCTCAGATATCTCCATGCTGTATGAGGTAGTCACTGGCGATTTTTTATGATAAACAATCTTCATTTGTGGAGATCTTCTTGTAACTCCATAGATCTACATTGATATCCTTGGTTCTTCAAGGTTCTGTAACAAATAGCAATCGTTATCTCTATTGTCGTACCCTCTCTATTGATTTCGATAAGACAGAAAAAGACAGCAAGTGCCATGCAAGGGGAGTAACGATCTCTATCTGTTACAGATCTGTGTAGTTCTTATTGAAACTCCATAGATCTCTAGGGTTATTCGTTTTCCATAGAGATCATTTGGATTTTCGTGTATCTCCTCTGGCCCTCCATACACCATGGATGTCCAGGGATTTTACAGATCTCCACATATCTCCATCTCATAGCACAGAAGATTTCCACAGTGGCTACACAGAAAATCTCTATTTGTAGAAATCCTCTTGGAATTCCATACATATCTTTGGATCTGCAGGAATATCCTGGGATCTCCTGGTATACATATCCTTAGATGTTTATGGAGATCATTTGGATTTCCACGGATTCCCATGGATTTTCGTGTAAAAGGTCCAGAGGAGACCTTTTACATACATTAATAATTACAGATATTCATGGATTTCCACAGATTTTCAGATATTTCCAACCTGTAAAAGGTAGTCACTGGCGATTTTTTATGATAAACAATCTCCATTTGTAGAGATCTACATGGATATCCTTGGTTCTTCAAGGCTCTGTAATAAATAGCGATCGTTATCTCTATTTTCGTCCCCTCTCTATTGATTTCGATAAGAGAGAACAAGACAGCAAGTGCCATTAAGGGGAATAACGATGTATATCTGTTACAGATCTGTGGAGATCTTATTGAAACTTCATAGATCTCCAGGCTTGTCTCCAGTCTTATTCGTTTGACATAGAGATCATTTGGATTTCTGTGTATCTCCTTCGGCCACAGTGATTTACGATTTTAAGACAGAAAATCTTCATTTGTGGAGATCTTTCTGTTGTAACTCTATGGATATACTTGGATTTTCAAAGACTCTCTAATAAATAACGATTTCTACTATCGTCCCCTCTCTATTGATTACGATAAGAGAGAAGAAGACTGCGAGTGCCATGTAAGGGAAATAATGATCTTTATCCGTTACAGAGTAGAGATCTTCTTGGAATTTCATAGATCTCCAGGCATATCCTTGGGGATCCATAGGGATGCTTTGAATTTTTGTGTATCTCTTCCGGCCTACTATAACCATGGATTTCTACAGATTCCCCGAGGGGTGGACACTCATCACAGTTCGTACATCGGTTTCGGAAATCGCAGGAGATTTTGACAATTTTCAACAATTTCACAAGAATTTCGGTTGAGATTTCGGGATTTCAGAAGGATTTTGGTGGAGATTTCGGGATTTCCCGAGGAATTTCCTAAGGATTTTGGGATTTCCAAAGAATTTGGAAATAATTTCACAGTATTTCGGATGAAAATGTACACCGATTTCGAAAGTGAGCCACCCCTCGAGATTCCCACCTATCTCCATCTCATGACAGAAGATTTTCACAGTGATTTAAGATTTTAAGACAGAAAATCTTCATTTGTGGAGATCTTCTTGTTGTTACTCCAGAGATCTCTATGGATATCCTTGGATCTTCAATAATGTAAAGCGATCTCTATCATTGTCGCCTCTCTATTGATTACGACAAGAGAGAAAAAGACGGCGAGTGCCATGCAAGGGGAATAACTATTTCTTTCCGTTACACATCTTCTTGGAACTTTATAGATCTTCACGCATATCCTTGGATTTCTATAGAGATCATTTGGATTTCTGTGTATCTTCTTCGGCTCTCCATAATAATTATTAATCATGGATTTCTACAGATTCCCACATATCTCCATCTCATAGAACAGAAGATTTCCGCAGTGATTTACGATTTCAAGACACAAAATCTCCATTAGATGTCTATAAATTGCTTTGGATTCTCGGGGCTAGGACTCTGTAATAAATAGCGATCTGTATTGTCGTCCCCTCTCTATTGATTACGATAAGAGAGAAGAAGACGGCCAATGCCATAGCAAGGGGAATAACGATCTCTTACAGATCTGTGGAGAGAGATCTTCAGGCATATCCTTGGATCTCTATAGAGATCATTTTGATTTTCGTTCATCTGCTCCATGGATTTATATCTGCACATATCTTCATTAGAGATGCCGCGAATAGAAGCTTTTACTATTCGGCCAATCCTTAAATTTTAACCGCCAGATCCGGATATCCGGCTGAATATCTGGCTATTTTGAAATACTATGATGAGATCCCACTTTAGACCTGTCTCTCTCGGCTCCAGTGCTTAAAGTTAAGTTCACTGAATGCGTCATCACGTGACAAGCTGTCAAGGGATTCAATAAAGATCGCAGGGAATCACCGAAAAGTAGATTATTTTGTTATTTGCTGGTTATTTATAGAGAGTGTTTTTCAACACAAGAATATAAAAATAAAAATGACTACCAGCAAAGTATGGGAATTTTATGTGATTGACGAATCTGATGACAGCAAAGCGGTATATACCAGATATCCGGCCGAAGGCCGGATTTTCATGCGACGTCCGATATCCGAAAAACCTTCTATTCTGACATATTTGTATACGATTATATCAGAAT